TCTGGGAAAAACCCATTGCAGCTGATGCTCATGATGCTGGCTCCGTTTGGGGGGTCTGGGAAAAACCCATTGCAAGCAGATGCTCATGATGCTGGCCCCATTTGGGGGGTCTGGGAAAAACCCATTGCAGCTGATGCTCATGATGCTGGCTCCGTTTTGGGGGGTTTGGGAAAAGCCCATTGCAGCTGATGCTCATGATGCTGGTCCCTTTTTTGGGCTTGGGAAAAACTATTGCAGCTGATGCTCCTGATACTTGCCCGGCTTTCGGGGTCTGATGGTTTGGGAAAACGCTACTGGCAGCCATGAACATCAGCTTCTGCCCGGCTGCTTCATGCTGCTTCGGCATGTTGAGCCCAGGAGTCAGGCGTCTCTTGTTCCATGGTGTTCCATATAGGCCCTACAAGCGCCACCCTCGAGCTGAATTTTCTGCAACTTCGTCTTGGAACCCCCACGCTCCTGAAACCACGAAACTATACTGGTGCATCGCCCCACTGCGTCTAAGCAATTTAGCCAGCATCGCCCAGAGTAGGGGAAGGTGTTGCAGAATCTCTATATAGGGATATTGTACAAGGTAATTATAGGTGTGCTGGAAAAGAAAATGGGAGCCACTGCTTCGGGTTGAGGATTGAAGATGAAACATCCTGTCACTGAATTGGACTTTGACTTCAGTGCTCCGAGCAGGGAAGCGTCACACTGAGTAGAATTTCCAAGGATCAGCATAATCAAGGATCCTGCAATGGAGGGCAGGGGTCTTAACAGGGCACGTGGGTGGAAGACCACGTCCTTCCAGGTACGAAATCCAATTGGGCTTGATGGCTTGCTTGCGCGTAGCTTTGCGATGACACTTAGGGGGCATTGACCACGCGTTTGAACTGTAGCGCTGCAGTCCAGGTAAACTGGACAGGTAGCAATCTTGGCAGGCAGAGGTCGTGCAGACAGCGAAGGAGGCTCCAGGTGAGATCACCAGTCTGAACCAAGTTGGTGGCACATGGCAGCCACTGGCTGCTGGTGATGCCGAGCCACCGCCAGCTATGACTCCAACCTTGAGCGAGCGAAAGCTCTCTGAGTCCATGGAAGTGGTGTCTGCCGGCTTCCCCGCAGACGATGTGCAGTGGACGCGCGCGACATCCCCGGAGTCGCGACGGGCGTCGGGACTTGGATCCGCACCGGGCTCGCCCCGCACGGCCTTGAGTGAGTCAGCCAATGTGTCGAATGTTTTCAGGAACATTACAGACCTGGGCGCACCACAGGCATCGGAAGATGAGAAGAAGAAATGCGGAAGAGCAGGAGCATTGCTTTTGTTGGACTACTTTGCGGCAGGCGTTGTCCTGCTCAACTCTATCACGCTGATACTGGAACTGGAACTGGAAGGACAAGCTGCAAGGGCTGACATGATTGCAGGCAACGGGCCATTGCAGACGAACCTCCTTCGGCCGTACTGGCGTGCAGCGGATGGGCTGTTCGACACACTGTTCTTGCTTGCTCCTTGGATTGTGCTTAGGCCCTGTTGCAGTGGCTGCAGGGCTCCTACAGCAATTTACAGCGTAATTACATTGTTTTTTTTTGTACCTTGCTCAGGAGATTTTGTCACGGATGGCGCTGGAAAAAAGGAACTTCCACAAGAATTTTGCAGCTCAGACAAAATCAATGGCAAGGCAGTGTTTGGTCGAAGGTACCAAATGCATCCCCAATACTGTTAGAGGACTCTTAGCATGTCTGGCTCTTTTTGTACGGGTGGTTCGTGCACGGTGCGATGACTTGAAGCCTTCTGTGCAAATTGTGGACTCATTTGGCCAAACAGAATTTCCTGTGATGCCTCTAAGGCCAACCTGTGCCTCGGACTGCAGCAGTCTGGTGTTTCTTTGGTTTGACATGCTAACAGCATACACACAACTGGCCCAGAACCATGGCTGTGACTCAAGCCTGCCATGGCACACCACATGCAGGTTCGACATGCTCTTAGCGTTCTTCGCCCTGCTCGACTTGAGCCCTGACTTTCCAGTTTTGGGGGGCCCCCCCTACTTTTTTGCAATGCGGCGCCGAAATTGTTATGTCAGATGTGCAAGAGCAAGCGGTACTGAAAGGTGTGTTTGAGGCTCCGATGTGCACTGAACATGTGGAGACTGCCGTGGCTAGGATTGTGGTGACGGCGCAAGAAGCGGACAGGGCCAATCTCGGCACCATGCAACGTGCCTTTGCTGCATGTAGGATTATTCCTCACCACCATGGAGATATGACCGTTCTTGTCGACCAAGGGCTGACCTTCTCGTAAGCTGCTAGGATGGGAGGCTGGCACGGGACATTTAATTTGGTGGCAAGACTTTACACTGATGCAAGCTGCTCTGTTGAGATGAGATATGGTTGGAGCTTGCAAACTGTTGATTTTGTCTCCATGGTGATTGGGGAAAAAATGCTGTCTGCTGAGAGGGCAGCTAATGTCAGGGTTTTGCGCCTTACGCACGCATTGTTCGTGGTGGACAATCATCCTGCCCCAAGCCACGCTGGGATAATAGTCTTGGCTGTGTTTGACGCACCTAGTGCAAACAGAAGGCTCCGGTCAACCCTTGTTTCTCGCAGCCACGAGACAACTTGCAGCATTGGCAGCGTGGGAGGGAAACAAGAGATGAAGATCAGAGGAACAACTGGGAGTCGGAAAGCGGATGGTCAGAGCTAAGTGAAATTTAGAAAGATTTGGTAAACTGTTGTGCTTGTCAGCCTGCTTGAGGCGGGCTCCCCGGCATAGAGAACCTTTCCTTTTCTTGTTGGAGGTTAGGAGGGAATCAGGGAATCTATAAGATATTCCCATTCCATAGGGATTATTTGGGGAGTATATTCCCTTATTTCCTACTAACCCGTTCAGCACGGGTCCGGATTTGGTGATTGACGGTCACGGGGCGGTTTTGAAGGGCCCCGTCTCGCGGCACTCGTGGACCGATAAATAGCAATGCCTAGTTGGGTTGAAGTTGAAGTGGTAGTTTCCCTAAATAAGGGTATCCCAATATAGACCCTAAAACACTATCAGACTATGATCCTCATGTTGGGACCCCCAAAAAAATGGAAAAACACCAACTGTGAGCCAAGTGCAAGACACCCGCACCCTAATCCCCTAGACATTCCAAGACGGCCAAGCACAGGCAACCTCCTGCGAGCCATCAGTCCCTGGGGTGCTGTTAAGGAACTTAAACTAAGGTACTATAATGAGGAGACTCCATTATTTAGGGTTGCTATTATCAGGAAACCCTATTTATCACGATATACATATTTTATGGTAACTTAATTTAAGTTCCTTAAGAGCAATCCAGGTTCCTTGCGAGCTTTTCGCCTTCTACGTGTCCTGCGATTATGCCGTGGCTTACACCTCTTGCTGAGCCTTGACAGTGTATATATGTATTGTTTCCGACAAAATGCTTAGCAAGTTTTGTGTGTGGTTTCCGACTTGAACTCTTCTTGTAAATGCTGCCTCTTCTTTGCAGTGCATCACTGACAGAAAGATTGCTCCAAACTGCATCCTTCCAGGAAGGCTTGCCAATCTTTCATTTCCTCGCTCTTCTGGTCAATGGTTCTTCTGGTGCTCTTTATGCTGGTGGGTGCTCTTGTGATCGGAAACGTCTTGCAAGACTTCATTCAAGATCCGACAGCAGACCTGCAAGATAGGCAATGGGTTTGGCATCACTACGGCACAGCTTATCGTGCTTGGCTAACCTTGTATGAGCTGACCTTCTCGGGGTCTTGGCCTTCCAGTACACGGCCTGTTCTAGACAAAGTCAGTCAGGGCTTCGTGGTTTTCTTCGTTCTATACATAACAGTTATTGCCTTTGCTTTGATCCGCATCATCACTGCTGTGTTTCTCAAAGACACGCTTGACGCTGCAAACAACGATGCAGAGCTTCAGACGATCGAGAATATGCAACGTGAGGAGAAGCTCCTTGGTCTCATTCATGGCGTTGTTGCGTTCATTTTTGCGTTAAATGGCCTGAGCTTGAACTTGACATTGCTGGAAGGTTTGTCCGCCATCTAGAGGGGATTTTCCGCGCCATCGATGACACGGGCGACGGTATGATCACGCAAGAACGGTTGGAAAGAGTGTTATCCAACCCCAAGGTGCCGCCAAGATGTGATGCCAGGTGTTAGGCGTGATGTGCTTGGGCATGTCTTCCAGGTGATTTAATATGGCTTGTAAGAACCTACTCTGTTGGCAAATGTTGATTGCCGTATCCGTACAAGTTTGCCTGGCACCTCAGCGGTGGAGGTCAGAGCATATTTCCAAACGCTTGGTTTGGACCTGGTCGAGAGCACAGCTTTGTGTTTGGGCACGCAAGCTGCATCTTTCCTGAGCATTGCTTTTGACGTCCTTGCGTTGTTTTTTGTTCATCCGCAGCAGAAAGAAAGGTTCCGTATTTTGGATGATGGAGATGGGGAAGTAACGCAACAGGAATCTGGGTTCCTTAACAGTTTCCATTTCATTTTCCATGTTCTTTTCCATTTGATTCTCCATTATAGGGGGATAATATGGTATCCCTAAACCCTAAACCCTAGGGTACCCCTTTAATTACTATATATACCCATTATAGTAACTTAATTTAAGTTCCTTAACAGCAACCCAGGAATTCATCAGCGGGATCATTCGCTGTAAGGGCCACGCGCGCGCAATAGATCAGGTGTCATTGCAAACAGACATCAGGGCGCTGGACAAGAAGATTCTGGGTTGCTGTTAAGGAACCTAAATTAAGTTACCCCAGTTTCCATTTCATTTTCCATTTTCTTTTCCATGTGATTCTCCATTATAGTAGCTTCCATTTTCTTTTCCATTATCCCTATATAACCCCAATATATACCCTATTATACTATTGTAGCTTCCATTTTCCTTTCCATTATCCCTACATAACCAGTACCCCTTTTAATAGTAACTTGATTTAAGTGGCCTAGCAGTGGCCCAGGATTTCCAGCTTGGCGGAGGCTTTTCAGGTTGATGAGGGCTCTGGGTCCAAGAAAATTGGTCATCTGAGCCACCTCAGCCAGCTCAACGCACCTCTTTGGCATTCAGTAATCAGTTTAGGGTTTAGGGTTTAGGGCCTGTAGTTTCCTTTTTTTTTTCTGGTCATCAAAGCTGGGGCTCTCAATCCAAAGTCCCCTGAGTGCCACAGTCATGACTGTTTGCACACTACCTGAAGCCTCGCCTATGTGATGTTGCCGGTAGCACACGCACCTCTCCAAACATAGATAGCCCACAGTACGGATGTCATAGACGCGACCTCCCAATTCTTTGCATTCAGATGCCGAAGCCCTTTCAAAGCCCCAGACATGAAATCCAGTCAGATGTTTGTTTTTACCATGTCATCATGTAGCATCCTCATTGCAGCTCATGCCGCGAGTCATGTTCGGATTGATGAGTAGGACTGGTATCACCAAAGTTGTTGGTCTCCTATCTCACATTATCATGCATTATGACTTTGCTCTAGGTAGGTCATAGGTAGGCTTTGGCATCATTATTAGAATTGCTGTGAAGGAACCTAAATTAAGCTACCCCAGTTTCCATTTCATTTTCCATTGTCTTTTCCATTTGATTCTCCATTATAGTAGCTTCCATTTTCTTTTCCATTATCCCTATATCACCCCAATATATACGCTATTATATTATTGTGGCTTCCATTTTCTTTT